ATCGAGCCCTGCTGAAAAATGCCTTTAAGCAGACAGACAAGAAGCCACCCTTGCTGAAGCTGGTTGACAGTGTATATACTCACATGAAGGTCAGAGAGAAATAATCACCCCCGAATGGCACAGGGGTCAGGGAAGCAGTGATAAAAAGAGCTCAGTTCTGCAATCTGTCCCATAAACGGTTGAACTAGGGCTCTGAAGGCGCAGAGTGAATCATAGGCGCATGAACCAGGCCACTGTTCCAGGGCACTTGTAAATGCAGAAGGAAACAATTAAAACTCTTGTGAACAATGGATCCACTCATAAATCCACCCCTCTTCCTCAGAATGAGTTACTGAAGAGGGCTAGAAGTGGCCCAAACACCAACAGTTGTGGAAGGGATGTTCCGGGAAAAGCCAGCCTCTCTTGGGATATATTTCCCAGTTGTTTGATAACCAAGACTGTCAGACTAGACTAGGCTTGCAGGGGGTTAAGCCCAAGGATGAGGGCCCATGGGGAGGCAGAGCAGATGAAGCCGGGTATAGCTGTAGATGATGATAACCCCCCCGAGGCAGAGTTTTATAATATTAATTATTAGAAGCTATTCCATGTGAAGCAGCTGCTGCTCCCTTCCCTGGCTCTGCCCAAGACCCTCAAGGCAGGAGAGCTGGGGATTCCCTACCACTGTACCCTTCAACAGAGCAGGCTAACTGCACCCTAATGTCTTCCTCCCTCCCCAACTTTTAAAAAAAATTATGGTAAAATACACATTTCATAAAAGTTACCATCTTAACCTTTCTTAAGTCTGCAATTCAGTGGCATTACATGCATTCAGGTTGTTGTGCTACTCAATGCCTTCTTTTTTTTTTTTCCTTTTTTCTGGTGAGTAGCAGCTGAAAAGATTCTTCCACTGAATTGTATTGAGACATGATTCACATACCACACGTTTCATCTAGTTAAGGTATACACTTCCATGGTTTTAGCATATTCACAGGGTTGTGTGATCATCACCACAGTCTAGTTTTAGACTATTTAATCACCCTGAAAAGAAACCACATACACATTCACTGTCACTCTCCACTGCCCCACTTTCCCAGCCCTGGGCAATCCCTAATCTGCTTTCTGTCTCTACAGATCTGCCTATTTTGGACATTCCAGATAAATAGGGTCATACAATATGAGAACTTTTGTGTCTGGCTGCTTTCATTTATTTAGCATAATGTTTTCAAAGTTTGCCCATGTTACAGCATGTACCAGGGCTTTGTTTTTATTGCCAAATACCGTTCCAGTGTATAGGTTCACCGTCTTTTGTTTATCCACCCATCAGTTGAGCTATGGTCCCAGTGCCTTTTCAGGGCAAAAATTTCTTTGCTTGGAACCAGCTACAACCTCCTGTAAAGAAGTCTGCAGATTTCAAAGTTAAGAATGTCTATTTCCCCTACATGGAGTATAAAATCTAGAAAACTGAGAAGTTCTGACCTCTGGTACAGAGTACCTGGAAGTCAAGACCTATTTAGGAAAAAATAAAAAAGGAGAAAAGAAAATGCCCCCCCCCCCCCC